CTTTTGATGATGGTTGCTACCATCTTTGTGTCATATAAAAATGATTGCAACTGCTGGTTGCAACCACCTTTACAACCTTTTTTGGATTGCAACATGGAACACTAGTGGGTACAAGTGTACTAATTAACAATCATTCAAACTTCTATATATTATTCTCATAGATGTTTTATATGAACTGTCAAAAGATCACAGAGAAGATCACACTTTTCAAAATTGCAATCTATTTTATAAAAGTTAAATGCCGCCTAAAAATAGGTTTGGTTTGGTTTATAAACTGCCAGTTTGACTAGTGAACCACACTGACTGACAGTTTACTGATCATGGTTTGAACCATGGTTCAAACCCAAGTTTAACTGCGGTTTTATAATTTCATTGGTCAAGTTAAATTTAAGAATTTTATTTTTATAATAAAATGAAAAAAATTATTTTTAAAAAAAAAACAAATTAATTTGTTCCAATAATTAAATCACTTTTAAACATCACTACTATCTTCATCAGAAAGTTCATATTCTTGACCAATTTTTTCAGAAATCCAACTTTTTAAGCATAACAAACCTCATGATGTTTCAGGATCTAGGCGATTCCTTAATTTAGATATTGTCAATCTTTAAACAGAAAAGGATTGTTCACATGGAACTGAGGTAGATTGTATTACCAAGTAATCCTTTGCTAATTCAGATAGAAATGGAAATGTTTCTTTATATGTACACCACCACATGAAATGGAAGGTAAAGCATAATGTCATGTATTTGAATTGAATTATTGATATCAGGAATTTGCATGATTGATGAACTATTATTGGTATCATTATCAAAAATTTGAACAATTGAAGTAGCTGAAAGTGCAGCATTATCAATTCTTTTGTCAATTGACATTCTTGCAAAAAAAATTTTTTTTAAGAAATATATTGTGGTGGTACATGGCAGTAAATTCTAAAAAAATAAAATAACTGGTTTATCTCACGGAGACTAATGCCCATGATGAAAAAAAAAGTTTATTTTATGAAAAAGTTTAATTTGCTATAAAAGTATTTTTTACTGTAAATTCACTA